CGATAGACGTTCGGAGCTTTGCATGCGCGACGACACAGACAATGAGAGACGTGCAAATGTGGATCCAAGCCATGATAGCCACGCGTATAATTTAGAGTTTGGAAGACCGGTATGGAGTAGAGGTCATCTCCTGGCATTCTTTTGTCTCTAGAATCGCATACGCAATACCTAGCCTCGATGGAAGACATCGTGCAAAAGCGATGCTGTTTGTGCCAAATTTGCATCACCGCTGAGCCTCGAGACATGATATGTGTTCCGATGGTTCGAGCCATGTCAATACCCTGGAGAGTGAGACCACGTGGCGAATCGCGATACAAGTTGAAGGGAAATATCAATACTATTGCAGGGAAGGCTCATGGCAATGTCGTTGATGTCCCAATGGAAGTAATGGGGAACATCGTCATCATCTACGCGGCACGGTACCACTTTGCATTAGTATGCAGAGTGATTTTGACGACTGACAACCGCGATCAGGGCTATTGCGGACCGGGTACAGATCGAAGTGATAGAGACACATAAAGGAAGGAAGCTGTTTTATTACCCGACGGTGTTCCTCAACAAAAAAGGGCCGGGGTGGACCTAGAAGCCACAGTCACTCGACAACCGTGTCGCCGCAACACTTGCGAACAATCCGAATCCCCAAGTAGGTGCATTGAAGCTGATAATGATGTTGCAGACCGGGGCTGATTCAACGGACAACGAAAAAAACGGATGGATCCAAGCCAAAATAGGCATATAGAAACCGTCTTCTAACCATCTTTGTGTCTCCAGAGCCACATACCGCAATATGTTACGTCTTGCCCCGTGAATTCATGCATCCATCTATAGATGGTGAGAAGGTAGCGTCTTTTATATCGGATTCGCATTATCATTGAGCCTTGGAATGTAATATGTTATCATGTGTCCACAGCATGAGACCACCTGTCAGGAGAGAAGGTACTGAAGGAGATGGCTTGGTGCAGTGGGGCAGGCAAGAAGCGTCCTGATCGTATCGACAGACGGGAGATGGTGGAAGCGTAGACGATAGTTTAGGTGAAACAAGCTGTGAAAAATGTGTCAAAACGCGACCCGACGAGTCAATTATGTGGGAAGTGAGATCGAAGCAGAATGGACATCGTTGGGAGGAAGACTTCTATCTGGATGAAGCAGATTAGAATCATCAAGTCGAACGAGGAGCAACATACCAATTTCCTTCGTTCCCTACAAAGAGGGCAATTGGATACTCACGAAACGTCCTTATGACGCAAGGCTATGACGTGCTGCGAACGATTCACGACGGTGGATGTCAGAACACTTTCGGGAGAGGAGAATGACAGTATATATTGAAACTATCTCTTAGATTATCTTCAATATTCTTCAGAAGAGAAAATCCCGTATCGGACAGTAGTGCGCTATCTTTGGTGGTCGTTACAGCGCTCGCCAAATCGATTTCACCCTTTCTTTCTCTATCCGATGACGATACAAGAATAAGCAGGCCTGAGGCATCCTGGGACCTGGACTCTGTGAGATACGATGTCGAGACAGTGTATCTTTGAAGGTTTGAGAGAATTCGAAAACTGGATAGGATCGAACTTTGAATACAGGAGTCAGGTAAATTCGTAAATTCATCAGCTGTCACTGGGGACAATACCGAACCGAATACAGCCGTCGGCCCCTATATACTTAACTTTACCAACGGCGTCTAAACGATCTAAACTCCGGTGTCTATCGGTCCAATTAAAATTAGAAAACCTACTGCATGCAGGGCGCAGCTCCTCGGTGTAACGGGTTGTACCAAGAGAGGAATGCCTGTTCACGTATTGAACTGACAATGAAGGGGAATCTTAAGGACTTATTATAATTATATTTGATGACCATAAGAAGAAACTGTACGAACCAGAGGTCATAAATTGTTGTTCGTATCAAACAAGATAATTGCGCAGCTCTTTGGTGACTTCCAGATCATGCAACCTCTTTCGTTCCTCTGAATTAGGCATTGTGAACACGGATACTTTCTCGAACCAGTTGTTTGATAATCTTCGCCCGACGACCCAATTCTCCAGTGCTATGTGCGCACCGATTATTGTATATGTGTCCTCGGGTATTAGGTAGTGGTGGAGGGCAGTTATCTGGAATGCATGTGTTTTTCCGTTCGCGCCGATAACAGTCAGCTCACCCCGTCGATCAACCCTTTCCGCATCCAATCCTCTCACAGTCCCTTTTTCAATGCAGTACCCTTGACACCAGTCGTTACCATTTTCCTCGTCCCGACCAACCCACACGCCGCATTCTCCCTTCTGCCGAGGCATGGCCATGGCCTGATCCCACGAAGGTCTCCATTTTTTGTTCCCGGTTCCCGGTTCAGGAAACCCGAAGAATAAGTCCCCCCGAAACCATGGAATAACTGTATTCACCAGCGCTGTCCAAGCATCTTCGAGAGACTGATCCTCATAGTACGCCGGTATCGTAGCCGATTCGAGGCAAAACGCCATACCTGCGATCTTGTCTACGGCTTTTGCCGATTGCCGCTTCTGCATCTCCGCCAACACGTCGAATATATTGTATGAATCCGGTGAGATGTCATCCAAGGCCTGCAGTTGCTTCCGAAACTTCTTTACTATCTCTTTACCCTCCTCGTCTTGCGGCTCAGTATGCAATGGTCCATCGGGTGTATCTCCAGCAATAATCCGATCCTCAGCGACCTCCTGCAGTGTCCATGCACGGTTAAACCACCAATGATGACTTTGAAAGACTTTCGCCGTCAAAGTGAAAGGCCTCCCAAGGCCACTCAAGTAGCACACCACCACGCCGACTACGCGATACAGATATCCAATTGTGGGCACATCCACTTTCCACTCCTCTGCACGTAGATCCTCTCCCGGCCCGTCTTTCTGTCTCAAACAGAGGACGTCCAGCCACACATACTCTAACCCAAGATTAAGCATCTCGATTCGGATAAGTTTAAGGTCGACGCCTGTCGGGATGGGAACTGGCCACTCCTTTCCGTTGATGGGAGTACGAATATCACTACGATCGTTTCCCTCCATCCATGCATGGGATATCGGCTGTGGCCACTTCTCTTTGGTGACCCACCACGGCACCACCCGATTACTAAACAGATCCCAAACGCGTCGAGGGGGGATTTGTGTGCCGACAATCTGGTCACCAACAAGCGCATTTCGGCGCATCTCTCGGTCCTTCTTCTCGTATGTGCGTAAATTATCTTGTATGGTGCTCAAGTCGTCGTACCACGACTGGCGGAGATGGCCGTACGCAGTGCCAAAGTCGTAGTTCCTTGAGATGCACTGATTGAGAAGGGAGGAGAGGGATGGAGTGTCGTCGAGGTTGTATGACGTCCCCAGGATGTCGTTGAGCGTCTGTAAGAGACGACCAATACCAAGTTCGGAACAAAGAGTGTCCGCAAGGGAGGCTGGTATGACGGACTTTTCGCCACGATAGGCGCGCTGCAATGGAACCTGTATCGACGATTCTGCTTGGCCGGTTTCGACAAGGGCGGAGAGTTTGGGAGGGGGTTCGCATTGTTTCTCTTCTTTCCTCGATTGAGGACTACATTATCGGAATCTGATATCAATCGTAATAGCACAACTGCACATACCACAGAATGACAGGCTTTGTACCTGGCCGTGGGTCCTCGATCGATGATTCCGTTCGGCTGACCTCAGTGAGGCCGGAGATCGTGACCTTGGGACTTGTGACTTCGGTGTGGGGCGAGGACTCGTTTGGTTTGACCATTCTGTGAGTTATCCTATAGTAGAAGCGGCAAGCAGCGGATATTAACGATGGCCGGCATGATCACATAATCATGCGTTCCTGTGCACTGGCAGCCGGTGGTTTGGTTACTCGCCGGGCTGCTGACCCATCCCTCGCTGACAATCTTGAACAGAACTCTCGGCCGTTGTCGACGGGATCACAGGATAGAAGATGCACTTGCGTCCTTTGGAAGAACACGGCTGGAATCAACGACTTGTTCTGCATGTCAAATTGAAACACTAGTTTCTAAAGCGCCGGAAATTTCTATCGGCGAGCTCAAATTCCTGAACAAAGGTCAATTATTTTCAGCTACCATTCCCTACAAGCAAGCGACGCTTGTTTCAACGCACGAGTCATACCGTCTATTCCCTCCTAGTCACGCATCACGATCTTGAACTCTCTTGCTCGAGAATTGACCAAGGTTTGCAACATTTTGCCGCACTCTGTCTCGACTTCAGGCCTTTTTCCATAGGATGGATATTTGTCTCACCATTGCCTTCATGGATCAAAGAATCCGGGTACCTATACGTCAAGCACTAGACGATCACTGCGAGTCTTGAAGGCACCGATGATCCCGGTGACCAAAGCGACTCTTTACTTGCTGTCCGCCAATCTGTGTGCTGGATCAAAGAGACCTATGTCGCTCTCTATAGAAGCCACGTGAGCTCGTAAATATGACGATGCTGGCGAATGCATTTATGCCCATGGATGCGTCACTAATGTGTCTCTTGCGTTGCAAGGATTTTTTGTGAATATCCGTGTGTCTCCGTTCTATCTGGCTCCGCCGGCTGGATCAATGCAGTGGACGCACTGCGTCTTATCTGTGTCTCCCCAATTCACTTTGGAGGCACGATGTGCGACTTCTGCACACTAGGGATCTCTGATTTGCACCTCTGGAGCCGTGCCGCTCGAGAGCAGTCCTGCATTCAGGAGCAACGACTGCATTTTGAGACGCGAAAGAGAATTTATAATGAGCTGAAGTAAAGGTACTGTCGTCGTCGCTCGACCTCCTTCTGATTTTCTGTTGTCATGTCTCAACTCGATTTTAGGTGCGATCTCAACATTCATGTTACTGAGATAGCTCGACAGAACCTCTACAGTACTTTCTCCATTGCCAATGCTCTGCAAGATCGTCCGACCCCTACAGAAATGTAGGCCTTGCCGTCTATCTGTGACATTATGCTAATGTTATTTTCAGGCCTGCAGGGTTTCAGCTAGTTACACCCCGCTCGATACACCCTGAATGGGCTCAAAAGTTGAATCTCCATCCTTGTTATAACGTCTACTATGAGTGCCGAACCAACCCCGGCTCACACCGCTGCCCGTTTTGCCCTAATGCGGACATCCCGGCCGCTAACATTCGCCAGCATCTCCATGAGTATCATATGGGCTACTCTCAAGAGAGTAGGCACTCACGGATCGTGTGTACTGCATGCCAGGTTCCCCTCCACGCAAAGTCTTATCCGAAGCATGTCCTCGAGCAACACTGTCATGTTTCTGCTCGTTGTCCCTACTGTAACGCCAACTTCAGCCGAGGACAAAGTGTGACACGACACTTGATATACGTTTGCCCAATGCTCCATCCTTTTCGACGCCAAGGATAGGGTTCCAGGTTTGTCGGCCTTCCAGCTGGGTCCGTGGCTGTTATTAAAAGTTTCTTGGTAGATTCTGTTCAGTAACTACATACTCTTGCACCTTTCATCATTTCGACTTGGCGTTAATTTACGCCGACAATCTCCCGTTCACAACTCACACCACGATCCTTCTTCTCTCCATATTTACACTTTCCGTTGCACAAAGTTATATACGACCCTTTCTATGTGTCTACCCTCCACTTGTTCGATGATGCTGCTTTCTTCCATGTAAATATGCCTCACCTTCATTCCATTTCTCCGGTCGTATATTCGTCCTTGTCTTCGTCCCTGGTTTCATAAATGTATCTATTTTCTACCTTCGCAATTACCTCTGTTTCGCGTGACATGACATGTCCTAAATCTGCAGACATCGTAACACTTGGGAACGCGAGATAAATGCTAGAAATCTCTGTCCTTACCTCAATCACTTATCCGTTATACCTTACCGTGTCCGTTAGTATCTCACTCACGCTGGTTTTTTCGTAGATCTTCACTCCTATCCTTTGTGATTATCTTTGACGCTGAAAATACGAATATCGCCATGGAAAATCCGCGGACATCTTGCTGTCCTAGATTTTCTCTTATAAAAATCTCAATGTTCAAGATGATAGACTTGAGTCAAGCACAGCTATCCTGTGCGAAGAATGCCTTGCCTGCCAGGTAATGTAATCATTATCCTGATAATTCGCCGGTCTCCTCCCCAAACCACGACTTGCAAGAGTACTCCAAAGAATATAACGATCCTGTCGTAACGAGAAACCCGGGCTTCTGCCTGAGACTCGTGCATCGTCTGAGCAAAGCATGAGCGTGGGCGTTCATCAAGTCGGCTTTCAAAGCCGGGCCGTTCAAATCATTAAATCGGCACAAGTCGTGAACAGAAAGGTGCAAAGGGCATCTTAATAGATTAGCGCAGAGGTGAAACCATGAAGCATGCAGTAAGTGAAGGAAATCTACGAAGGTCATGTAAAAATGTCCAGTTACTGATAGGGAATCAATTTGGCGGTCTACGTCGGTAAAGGATGAGTGCACTACAAAAACTAATGTAGTGCTCTGCTACACTATACCACCTTCGTGTTAATTCGTCCCCGCAGTAAGCACACAGTCAAAGAGGAGAAACATCGCAATGCACCTCGAGGACATGATCAGCAAAAGACCTAACTTCCATCTTCTCTGTTTTACACTCAATACATGCCACCTTGTCGTATCTGCCGTCTTGAGAAAAGCCCAGGTGATCGGCCCTCAGATGCTTGCGGAATTCATATCCATGGATAAGCTTGGCGCAGTG